TGGAGTCCAACCAGAAACTGTTACAAGGCCTGCTGGATCAGACAGAGAACCGTCCAGAAATCATCCAGAGCGCCATCAACAACCTGAAAAAGATGAACCTGAAAAGGATGTCCGGAGATGAAATGTCTCCAGACAGAAGCATCAACATCTTCCACTGTCTGATGGAGATGAAGGATCTCTCAGTACATCAGGAAATCCAAGAGTTCCTGAAGTCAGAGAACAGATCAGAGAAGAAACTCTCTGAGATCCACTGCTCAGCTCTGGGCTACATGCTGCAGATGTCAGAGGAGGTTCTGGACGAGTTGGACCTGAACCAGTACAACACAACACAGGAGGGAAAAAGGAGACTGATCCCAGCTGTGAGGAACTGCAGAAAGGCTCGGTGAGTCCAGATGTGGTGAACATGATCAGTCAGTGTAGATCAGGAGTTGAGTTCTTCAGATGTTCTCACTAGAACATTCTCATTATTCTTGAAATAGTGTTTCACTTGTTTATTGAAAACATCACATCAGCTGTGTTTTGTCTCAGATGTTCTCGAGTGGTTTTTGGTTCTTTAAAACGGTTTAATTAATAAACACATTTTTTTTGTTTCATTCTAATAATTCCTTTTGGCTGATGGAGGCCACATGCAGACCTCCTGAAAAACATGAGCAGTAGAGGTTCTTGTCCTGGTTTTACCACAGCTTCACTTTATCACAACATGTTGCGGTGTCTGGCAGTTTCTGGTGAACACACTTGAACTAATGTTACATGAAGGAGCTCCTTAAGCAAATATACAGAGTATATGTAGTTTAAAATAAGATCTGAATAATTTCTAAAGCCTGAGAGAACGACTTTAATGGAATTTTTACCATCACTAAAGAATTGTTTTTTAATTGATTCATTTCTTGTTATTTGTAATGTTTTTCTTGAGTTACTCTATTTATTCTTTTTGGTAGGTGTTGTGTGTAAATTCAGTTTTAATGCCACTAAAAAACTTAAACGTTGTTTTTGCAGCGTGATAGATAGATCAGCAATGCTCAGAATTTAAAGCTAAACAAGTTTTTCAGAATCTCACAAATGAAAGCTGCGGCCAAAAGTTGACATAGTTGTCTGTCATCCACATCTGAATATTTAAACATGTTCAGGTGTGATGTTGTCCAGTGATCCGTTTCATTTGTGTTGCTTTTGACATCAGACTGTAAATGTTCCTCTGATGGAGGTGAAGCTGACAGCAGCAGGTCCACAGCAGAGAGACGACATCTTTTCAACTGTGACTGTTCATACAGTAACAATAACCAGAAAAGTCACTATAAACATTGACAATGTTCTTCTAGTCCAGATGTCCTCCTGATAACTTTGAGGAGTCAGATGTGGGATCAGATCACACTGACACACTGTGGACGGTCTGGACGCCTGAATGTAACTCCATCTTCTGTCCTTCTGTTGTGTTCATCTGCAGATTAAAGCAAAACACAGATTCAAAGTGTGCAGGTGTGAGAGAGGCTGAATTCAGTTTAATATCAAACACACTCAGATAAGATCAGCTGAACCACTGATGTGAAGAACCACATGTCAAACAGGACGTGTCCAACTGTTTTAGCATCATATTCATGACGCAAATATAAAGTGTCCTCTTCGATAATGTATTTTGTTTATGTGTCATGACAGACTTTCTGACTGTGGACTCTCAGAGAGTCACTGTGAAGTCGTGGCCTCAGCTCTGAAGTCCAACCCCTCCCATCTGACAGAACTGGACCTGAGTGGAAACAACAGCCTGCAGGATTCAGGAGTGAAGAATCTTTCTGCTGGACTGCAGAGTCCAAACTGTAAACTGGAGACTCTCAGGTCAG